ATAGAGCCGGTATCCGCCTGGCGGTGACGCTCATGGCGCTGTGCATATTATAATCACAAACATATCACTTTCTTAACTAAAATAAAGTACACTAAGACAACACAAATTATTACGCTACGTTGAACTGTTTAGAAAGAGATGGGTTCTTAGAGCAATTTTGAAGTCATGGATAAATGAATAAATGTAAGACACATTTCATTTGATGAACAGATTTTTGTTCATATGATATACCAAACATAACAAACATATCACTTTCTTAACTAAATTAAAGTAAACTAAGACAACACAAATTATTACGCTACGTTAAAATGTTAAGAAAGAGATGGGTTCTTAAAGCAATTTTGAAGTCATGGATAAATGAATAAATGTAAGATACATTTCATTTCATGAACAGATTTTTGTTCATATGATACAGCATGTTAAATTGTGCTAAAACTCTTACAATTATTAGTTTGTAGAACACATCATTCACAAGAATACATCTTTAAACATTCTAAATCTTAAACCCGCTCGTTAAAAGAACTTTTAGACATGAAGAATAACAAATTCACACCTGTTACTGTGACAACGAGAAGACAAGTGTCAGTGTTTCCTGCAGCATCTGAAGATGAACAGTTCACAGTGTTGTCCCCGATCAGGAATATATCTTCAGATGAATGAGAGCAAATCACATCTAGATCAAAATCCACATTATCAGTTGCAGTTGAATTCAGCAGAACAGTAGATGACGAATTGAGTCCCTTATCCGTAGTAGAGGATATATTTGGGCAATTCAGAATAGGGGTTTCATCATCTGCAAGATAATAGAAATTCGGTCAAATTACATCAATACATAATTTACGAGAATGGAATCATGTATGTCAACTTCCAGGTGATGAAAATAATGTAAAGGAACAGACTTCCGGTCGATAAAAAATTGTACGATAAATTTTACCAGGCGTCACGTCAAAAATGTCTTAGCATGCTGCATGCCGGTGGCACGCCCGGGCAGCGAATTTGCGATTCCCAAACCATTCAGCTATGGGAAACATTTTGAGCAACGTGATTGGTTAAAAAAAGTTATAAAGACACGCCCACATCGACGCGAGCCATCTCATCATGGCGGTGCGAATGTGTCTGGATAATGGATAACAGTGGGCCTGTATATGCCTGTAGCTAGCTCACGTGTGAAGTGCATTGTACCTAACAACATAGCGTATGTGCAGTCCTGAGTGTTTTGTTGAGCCTAGCCATGCATTGTTTGAACATTGACAATAACACAAGTTACATGTAGATTTAGATGATAGATCTTTGAAGTTAGATACAAGTATGTTCTAATGAAATATAATTATCGATTGGATGATTTTTTATTTTTTTATTTTTTAGATCTAGACCCTAGATCTATAGACCTATGATAACAAATAAAAAATGGAACATTATTTATTGGGGGAGGGGGGGGGGGGGGGGTCTAACTTTGCTAGTCTAGATGTCTATGTATAAATGAGAGCTTGAGTCCGGGGGAAAAAAGGGGTTGCAGAGAGCCCCAGCAGTTGTTCTAATAATCAGAGTTTGATGAAAGGATTAGGCATTACAACATTTCCAGGTCAGAAATCCTCAAACAGATTAAAATGGTAAAACTAGAGAAAGTTTCCAAAATTAAATTAATTCATCTCGACTATACATGTAGATCTAGCCATGAGTATTGTTCAAACAGGATAGACTACAGGATATCACATTTTTGGTGGCTAATTCTTCTTAAAAGTGCATTAACAAACTGGCAAATGTAATTGTATTAATGATCTGAGTATAATTCCTTTCATTGCAGGATACTCTCCCTATTGAGTATGAATACCATCTCTGCTCGTTACTGATACACACCTTCAGTAGCAGAATTCTAAGGCATCTGAGTAGTTTGCAGGCACATATACAGAGTCTGAATCGTGAGAATCCAGTAGGCCATTTCATGTAGATAGACTTCCCTCAGACATGATATCTTTCGTAAAGTGTCAAATTAGAGTCTGTGCTTGCAAAATAACATTGTGAGTGTTTGTGTGTCTGTGTCAGCTGTGAGCGAGCCCGAGCGTGCAGTAAATTATGTAATATTTATTTCTTCTCTCGACCAATCACGTTGCTCATAAAGTCTCCCATAGCTGAATGGTTTGGGAATCGCAAATTCGCGCCCGGGCATGCCTCTATTGTTCTCGGAATGCTGTCTGCAGTCGACATGCCTACATCCTGTTCGCTGTAAGCTACAATGCCCGTCCCGTGTGGCATGGCGTGACGCCATACCTGTCGCGTACAGCATGGCCTCGTTGTTTATTCTAATCCACCATGCTGCTCGCGGGTTACTTGCACGCCGCTTGTACATATAATCTGTCATGAATCTCGCGTACGGCATGACCTCCTTGTCTACCGAAATCCATCATGCTGCTCGCGACCGGCCGCATTTCCCATCTTGTACATTAATAATAATCAACCACACCCGTCGTGACTTGTTGCACTTTTAATCTCGATTGTAAAAGCCCTTTTTTTTAGTTTCGAAAGAGAGAGCGGTGTCGTCATTTCGAAAGCGTATAGGGTTCATGAATCGACGATTTGTATTTCCGAAAATAAATAGGGGTTTGTAATTCCTTTTAATAAATAGGATCATCCGTATTAAAAGCAAAGGAATTATTTGTTATTTAGAGCGACGTGACAAAGACGGACTGAAGTACTGACGATGATAGTTCGTAAAGAAATTATTTGTCACTCAATTCGACCCGCCTCCGATTGAACTCTTAAACATCAACGCAACAATTAAAAGTAGTCGTGACGGCGCGATGTCCGTACATGTACGATCAGTGGTGGGTAACGAATATCGCTTGTTATTCTAGCCGACCTGCCTCTGATGGATCGACTCAACCCAATTCTTCAAGAAGTCCTGACGCACTTACGATACTCATTATGTATTAGTTGTCATTCAAATCGACCCACATCCATTATTGATTGACGCAATGAAAATGTTCAAGTACGGTCTGACGTATGTAATACGATACTCGTTAGGTAAAGAAATTAGTTTTAATTGAATCAACCTGCTTGCGAGTGATTGACGTAACGATACTTTTAAAGACGGCGCGACGTCCTTACGATCCTCGTTTGTAAAATAAATTACTGTTGTTTTTTTTCAATTCGACTTTATATCTGATTGGTTGACGCAATGACCTTCTTCATTGATGACGCAACTCAATTCTTCAAGGGGGCCTGACGTACTTACGACCATCGGTAGATAAAGACAAATGTAATATAAGAAGATCGTTTAGATATATAGAGAGGAAATAAAAGATTGGAGAGAGAAAGAGATGTGTAGAGAGGAAATTTAAAAAAGGTAGATATATATATATATATATATATAGAGTGAGAGAGAGAGAGAGAGACAGAGATGAAATGAAAGAAGGTCGTATAGAGAGAGATGTATAGAGAGGAAATAAAAGGAGAAGATAGAGACATAGACAGTGGCGGATCCAGCCGGCGGCAGGGGAGGGGGCCCAATCCGTGAGAAAATATTTAGGAGGGGGGAGCACAATTTTTATGGGGCCCTCGCAAATTTGAAAAGTCGCACCCCCCCCCCTTAAACGCCAGGAGAGGGGGCCATCTCCCCCCTTAAAAGTTAAATGAACTTGTTTTATCACGTTTTTTTCCCAGGGGAGGGGCCCGACCCCCCCCCCCCCCCCTGGATCCGCCACTGGAAATAGACGCAGAGAGGTAATAAAAGAAGCTCGTAGATAGAGATGGGGAGGGGGACGGTGTCGAGACGAAATAAAGAAGATAGAGCAAGAGAGAGACGTAGAGAAGATCGTATATAGAGAGGGGAGATGTAGAGAGGAAATAGAAAAGACGGAGATATTGAGTGGAAATAAAAGAAGATAGAGTAAGAGAGAGAGAGAGAGAGTAAATAAAAGAAGGTCGTTTAGAGAGACGTATAGAGATGAAATAAAAGGAGAAGATAGAGACATAGACAGGGGCGGATCCAGCCGGCGGCAGGGGAGGGGGCCCAATTCGTGAGAAAATATTTAGGGGGGGGGGGTAGTGAGCACAATTTTGTTTGGGGGCCCTCGAAAATTTGAAAAATTGCATCCCCCCCCCCTTGAGCGCAAGGGGAGGGGGCCATCTCTCCCCCCTCCCCCCCCCCCCCCCCCAAAAAAAAAAAAAAAAAAAAAATAATAATAATAATAATAATAAATAAATAAAAAAAAATAAAAAAAAATAAAAAATTAACACTGGACATAGACGCAGAGAGGTATAATAAAAGAAGCTCGTAGATAGAGATGGGGAGGGGGACGGTGTCGAGAGGAAATTCAGAAGACAGAGATATTGGGTGGAAATAAAAGAAGATAGAGAGAGAGAGAGAGAGAGGAAATAAAAGATCGAAGACAGAGAGAGAGAGATATAGAGAGGAAATATAAGAAGGTCATTTAGATATAGAGAGGAATTAAAAGGATAAGATTGGAGAGATAAATAGATGTGTAGAGAGGAAATAAAAAAGGTAGAGAGAGATAATATGTATAGAGAGAGGGGAAACAAAAGAAGGTCGTATAGAGAGAGAGATATAGAGAGCAAATAAGAGATTGAAAATTAAAAGAGAAGATAGAGATGGGGCTGTGGAGAGGAAATAAAGAAGATAGAGCAAGAAAGAGAGACGTAGAGAGGTATTCAATAAAAGATCGTTTATATATATATATATATAGAGAGAGAGAGAGGTAGAGCGGAAAAAAAAGATCGTTGATGGAGAGAGTGTGAGAGGTAGAGAGGAAATAAAAAGAGATCTTAGATAGAAAGAGAGAGAGTGAGAAAGATGGGGAGAAAAAGGAAAATCGTAGATGGACTTAAACTTAAACTTATTAAACAAATCAGCAAAACTACTCCATTGAATACACCAGTATTAGTCTCTCATACTGATATGAGACTTATAAGTCTCTTTAACTGGTAAGAGACTTATACTGGTCTTTAACAAAATTGCAATAAAAACACAAACGAAACAATTGTTAAATTTGAATTTGAATTTATTTTCAACTATTTACACTTTATCACTGAAAATAAATACAATATTCAATGTGCATTCAAGCACAGTGTTGGGCCTAAAACAAAGGTGGTGGCATTACAATCCTACTGGAGGGAGATGGCGGATCGTAGGCTCTGTGTAGCCTTTCTACATTTATTGTTCACCGAATCACGTAGCTGCTTCTGCAGAAAAGACGACCCAAAGGCACCGGGATACTGGACCTCTGCCTGGGCGACGATGGCCTTAAACCTATCGTCGGCTCGTAGCGCTCGTTTGGTGACCATCTGTCTGCCGGTCCAGACGTCCCCGCCATTGAAGTTGTGTGCGGCGAGTTCTTCCTTTGTGTAGACCACCTTCAGCAGACTGATTACCAAGTCTTTGGCCTTAGTCGTCGCCTCCCAGCATCGGTCGTATACAACCTTGTCGACTGTGATGTTGGCGTCTGGTGACCCGATGAGCACCTGATTGCCCGAGAGCTTGGAGTACTTCGGTGGCTCCTTTCGTTGGAGGCCGCTCATCGCCCGAAACTCCCTCTTCAGATTGGTGACTTCAAGGATTAGCGTTTTGTTTTGTTGTTGGAGAGTTGCGAGTTGTCGCACTATAGCCTCCAAGCTGTGGCTATGTGCATCGGGTGACTGGTCGATGGTCGCTAGGTGGAGGGTTTCGTCGACGGACTGGCAGTAGGGAATTGGAGAAAGCGTGGGTAGGCCGAAAGACTGGTCGGTGGACGCGTGGCTATTCATCGGGTTGGTGTGATTAGTCGGAGAGGGGGCTTGGTGGAGTGGTTCGTTGGCGGACTGGTCGGAGAGGGTCGGAGAAAGCGCGGGCATGTCGCTGAAGTGGTATACATCCATCGACTGGTCGGAGGTTTGGTCAGCTTGGTGCACCATGAAGTCTTCAGCGATGTCGCTGTCTGTGTCACTGTCGCTAACGTTGACGGGTCTTGTGACGACTGGTAGAACTATCCTCGACGGCCGCCTTAGCCTCGATGGCTGCCTCAGCTTCTGCCGAAGAATTGCGTTGACGGCCGTCCTGGTCTTGGTGGCTTGCGGGATCCGCGGTTTCTCTGTGGGAGTAAAAGAAGAAAAGAGATTCATAAGTTGAAATATTCCAAACTACATAGCTGCCGGATATAATATTCACTGCATGTTAACTCTTACAATAATACTATAATATTGACATATAATAATTCCAAAAAAGAGAAATACACACCTAAAGCGACGATGCTGGCTTCATGCTGGCCTCGCCTGTGCTCAATATGCACCACCTCCCCGACTTTTAATTCCCCTTGGTTGGAGATTCGGCTTCTGGCCACGTCTTCGATAGTTCCTCTCCACTTGCCGACCAACCACTCGATGGTTATACTGAGCATACTTGTTGATAGATTTGGACGGTAATATGAGTAGAACTCTAATGTGAATTAGTTTGAAAAAAACGTTAGGAATTTATACAGTTTTTCTCTTCGAATTTCCGGTATTCCATCAACCAATGAACGTGCACGACACACATCATTGGTCGGTTGCTTATTGGTCAGTTGCACAACAATGCCATTTAACGTAGTCTGTTTCCCCATTGGACGATGTAATAATCACTTTCTTGTCTGCACACCTCTTTTTACAGAGCTCTTTGAACAATCGTTCCTTTGATTAGGCCGCAATGCAGTCGGTTCACGTGTTTCTGCACGCTAATTAAAGGAGATTGAATACCAAAACTTGTATGCACCGTTCAAAGCTGAAGCCGAAAAAATCTTATAAGCATATCACTGAACGTTCGAGGAAAATGGATGAAGACTATTAAAAAGTTAGAAAGATTAAAACAAAACTTTAAAAAGAAAAGGCGATGACGTACCCATTTTTCAACATTAGTAACCTTCCCACATATAATAATGACCATCACCTACATTTTGATGGAAACAGTCACGCTGTTTGAGTTTCATTTAAGTTAATTAATGCATCATATTTTTTGCGGAAGATCCGCACTTTCAAGCAATTGACACGGGGGCAGTGATACTTGCCTAGGCGTTAAAAAACATTTGATTTTGAATAACTCAAGTTTCAACTCGTATCAAACTGATGATCGATAGAACATTTTCAAGTTGAAGATTGATACATTATAACGATATATAACAATCATGACGTGTTTATTATAAATCATATGTTTTTATTTCGTGTTTAAGTTATCCACAAACTTAACAAAATGTTTAAAAATCTGAGTGATGTTCATGTATAAACACTCAAGTGCTTAACTTTGAGCTGATTATGAGCTATAAACATTTTATTCGTGTTAATTTAAAAGTCAAGTGCTTAACTTTGAGCTGATTATGAGCTATAAACATTTTATTCGTGTTAATTTAAAAGTCAAGTGCTTAGCTTTGAGCTGATTATGAGCTATAAACATTGTATTCGTGTTGATTTAAAAGTGAGCATATAATGTACAAGACACCTCATCCAAGAAGATATGTTTTGAGGGTTTGTGCCTCACCTATATGTAATTATATATTTTGGTCGGCTTATAATATACCGTATAGAGGTAACAATGGAATCTCGGACATTCAACGTTGCCTTTGCCCAACCCCGCCGTCCTATACTGGGGCATTATTGATTGCAGGTCACGAACAATACATGGGACACCACGTGCCCTTTGTTCTTCGACCCCCCTGTCACAATGTGACTAGGATTTCTTTTTTAGACAGAGAATGTAATGGACAGGTGTTAGATGAATAGATGTTGTTGGTAGCAATTTACTAGGTCAACTAACTTGGATTTACTAGGTCAACTAACTTGGGTCTCTAGTAGAGCAGGTGTCTGTCTTTGTCTGTGTGTGGGGAAAGGATGAGGAGAATGTTAATAGGAAAGTTTTGTATAGAGGATTCAGTAAAAGGAATTTGGATGGACAGTTTTGGCATGAGAGGAATACAAAGAATGTTAAAGAGGTTACTATTGAGAGAGCCAACGTGGATTAGAGATTTAGGGTAGTTTAATCAGATTGCACATGAGATCTCGAGAGGAGCAGACCTTTCAGAATTTGGTCTGACTTTGGGGAGTGAATGAGGGGTGTTGGCCACGAAGGTAAAAGTTACAGCCACAGGCTATAAGCATGCTGTTGCTGGCATAGACTTTCCCTATACTATGGGACCAGGCAAGAACCAGGCAGCACAGGCCGACGTGGTAGAAGCCTCATCAGCCCTCGCCTCAACTTGGATCATCATTTGAACATCTGAACTGGACAAGCTGGGCTCGTAGCCATAACCCTAGGCACCATCAGTGAATGGACATGTGTTCGTAGTCGACACGCTCAGGCAACCTACTCGCGTCAAGTCGTTGAGTCAACGCCCAGTGCTGTCGTACACCGGTCAGGCTTAGCAGGTCATGCATCATATCGCACCGGGTTACTACATACACCAGAGTATTTCGTTTCGCCTATTCAGAAACAGGAAGAGGTGGTATTTACGAACTCTAAATCGGGACTCTTTAACCCACAACAGTATACTTTTTATATAAAGACCGGGCTAGAGTCGGTGGGAGATTAACTGTATGTTATACCTCGAAGGATGACCTGGTCATCAGGTAATCTATTTTTCCTTTGGAAATATGGAGAATTATATTGTGATATAATTGAGTACCAAGACGACATAAACAGTGATAGGATATACTCCTATCTAAGTTCACAGTGATTCGGAATCATTTTATTTTTGTCAGTTATTTGCATGTTTAATTATATTGAGCCGATGGCTCTTAAATAAACTGTTTGTACCCTATATTTTACTCTTGAAATTGCTTGATTTTCTTGTGATACATACTCATTTCATCAGAACCTAATTTATCGTCAGACCATAATAATTTTCAGTATTTAAATCTATGTTTTGAGGGTTTGTGCCTCACCTATATGTAATTATGTAATTATGTGCCTCACCTATATGTAATTATGTTTTGAGGGTTTGTGCCTCACCTATATGTAATTATATATTTTGGTCGGCTTATAATATACCGTATAGAGGTAACAATGGAATCTCGGACATTCAACGTTGCCTTTGCCCAACCCCGCCGTCCTATACTGGGGCATTATTGATTGCAGGTCACGAACAATACATGGGACACCACGTGCCCTTTGTTCTTCGACCCCCCCCCCCCCCCCATTCACCTCTATTAAACGAATAAACTAGCCTTTCACGCTATGGCTACGTTGCTTTCACATATTATGCGCTATATTAGTGATTGTGATAGATATCTGAGCAAAAGAATCGAAAATAGATAACAAAAAGGTATTAAAAAGGAAAACAAGAACAACACAATCATATTGCTAGTTCATAGTTTAAGTTCACACAAATGCAAGCGAATGAAGATAAATAGCATAGTTAGAGTTCAGAAATGAACAATATGGAATTAAAAAATAGGAGAAAAAGAAAGACGAAGAAGATAAATGAAATCAAAAGTAAAAGAAAGGGATCGTGGGAGGAAATTTAGTAAAACAATCAAGTCACATGAAAATATGATGAACAAACAATAACCAAGGGTCTTTCAAAGTTTTGTCTCCAGATATTATTTTCTATTAAAGCTTGATAAAGAATGACTTTTTTGCCCCAAAACTGAAGACGATTCCACAGCTTTGGATCACTTTATGTATTATGGTTCGATAAAGAACGTATTGAATAAATGTTGGTATCCGAATGTGAGTGGATGCTAGGTGGAGTATATAAATGATAGGTGCAACAAAACAATATATCCTGAGAACAATCATTGGAAAACTTGGAAGCCCGGCGCAAATTGCGAAAATAAGATAACATAACATTTGCTATATAATTGCAACATATGCAGGCCTATATCTGGAACTACACCGATTCATTAGTTAGAAAGATATAGAGGCACATTAGCCACATTTACGATTATGACCATAATAATATCTACTTTTTCATCAACATTGTGATTAAACATGTTTATCTAGTTTCATTGAAGTAAATGCATCATATTATGTGTGTGAAATGTTCCTTAAATTGTCAATCATTTGACAGAAGAACAATGCTATAGTACATGTATTCCGTCTTTCCATCAAAAACTATATTCGTCCATGATCTTCATTTCAGAGTATAGCGTTAATGGCTTGTATTAAATAGTTTGAAAGCCGACCAAATGCTCCTTTCACTTTTGTCAGTCACACCGTTTATCCAAGGCCGCCGATCCATTAGCTATGTGTAATTAGATGTTTTGGCAGGCTTATAGTACATAGAGGTAATAATGGGATCGCGAACATTAAACAGTACAGTATTGATTGGATGTCACGAACAATACACGGGACGCCACTTCCCTTTTGTTCTTCGACCCCCCTCCCACTCCCTCTCTTTTAAACTAATAAACTAGTCTTTCACGCTATGGCTAAGTTGCATTCATAAATTATGCGCCATATTATGTTAGTGATTGAGATAGATTTTGAGCAAATAATCGAAATTTGATTATGACAAAAAAGTATTTAACGGTTTAACAAGAACTACATTATATTGCTTGTTTATAGTTTAACCCTTTGAAAGCGAGCCCGCGCACAGCGATTATTTCCCCTGTGACGGAGCGATTTCGGTTACATTGCCAGTAATGGAAAATTTGGCGGTGCTTTCTACTTTCGCCTACCATTGCGCCTCATTCAGTAATTTTCGTGATTTTTTGTCAATGTAAAAATGAAAGATCAGACTTTTTTCTTTCTAAAAATATAAGTTTTGTTCTTCAATACGAAAATTAGGGTCTGTTATTTTTGAGGGAAATTGCCGTCTTATTTTGGTGAAGCTTCACATCTTTCCTTTTCAATACACTCACAATACAAAATGCGCAAGCACCTCCGCACGCGCAGATCGGTCGATACCTCCATTCATTCCCCGATTGTCAATGACAATGATTGTCTTCTGCTAAAGCTCGGTCAATTATCCTACATCCTCTTCTTTCAAAACAGTAATCTTCCAGAGTAGATACTTCTTTACATTCATTTGTTCCTCTAAGGGTAGGGTCCTGAGATAAGCTGAGATAAGTGTTTCATAAAAGAGGAGGTCCATACATGAATTATTCGCTAAATTGGTCAAGTTGATGAATGATAAGGCACTGGTAATTGTAGGGGAGAAGAATTACCAACTTCTTTTATCAATGCATACTTTTATACTTCCACAGTTTAGAGTAAGGTCGGTTATTTGTAGCCAAGTGAAACACGGCGAATCGCATATTTAATTTAAAAGGAATAGGTCTTTATGAATAGGACTACTATAGGCCTAATAATATTATTATATGAATAACTACAATACATCTATCGAAATGTGGGAAAAAACGCCCTCTCATATTGACCAGCGAACAATACACGGGACGCCACTTCCCTTTTGTTCTTCGACCTCCCTCCCACTCCCTCTCTTTTAAACTAATAAACTAGTCTTTCACGCTATGGCTAAGTTGCATTCATAAATTATGCGCCATATCATGTTAGTGATTGAGATAGATTTTGAGTAAAATAATCGAAATTAGATAATGACAACAAAGTATTTAACAGAGAAACAAGAACAAAAACATGAATAGCTTGTTTATAGTTTAAGTTGACATAAATGCAAGGGAAGGAAGATGGGTATAATATTTACTAGTTCCGAAATAATCAATACGGCACCACCCCCCCCCCCCCCACCCCCCTCCCCTCTCTATTAAAATAATGAAACTCGCCTTTCACGCTATGGCTATACGTTGCGTGCATATATTATGCGTCATACTATGTTCGTGATTTTAAATGATTTTGAGCAAAGGAATCGAAATTTGATAATGACAAAAACGTATTTAACAGTTTAACAAGAACTACATTATTTGCTTGTTTATAGTTTAAGTTGACGTTAATGCAAGGGAAGGAAGGTGGGTATCATATTTGATTAGTAGTTCAGTAATAATCAATATGAAATGAAACAATATGAGTGATCAAGAGGGAAGTAAAGCTAAAGAGAGGAAAAGAGAGAGAGAGAGAGAGAGAGAGGAAAGATATGAATAAACCAAAGAAATAATACACTGGGAAACCACTTAAACACAAATACCTTTCTGTAACACTTTATAAACACTTAAACACGCAAACGTTGATTTTGAATTCCATTGATTTCTATTTGATCATTTGTTACCCCAGAAACCAATACAAAAATTCCCCAAAGATTATAAACATACAACCGACTTCAGACTTATAGAACGTACAAACTCGAGAGCTTATCAAAATACGTAATTATAATTGACACAATAAACCCTTAAAATATGTTCTGAGGGTTTGTGCCTATCTATATGTAATTAGATATTTTGGTCGGCTTATAGTATAGAGGTAACAATGGGATCGCGGACATTAAATGTTGCCTTTGCCCAACCCCGCCGGCCTATATGGTGAATAGTAGTATATTGATTAGATGTCACGAACAATTCACGGACAACGCTTCCCCTTTGTTCATCGACCCCCCCCCCCCCCTCCATTCCCTCTCTTTTAACTAATCAACTAGGCTTTCACGCTCTGGCTACGTTGCGTTCATATATTATGCGCCATAATGTTAGTGATTGTGATAGATTTTGAGTGAAAGAATCGAAATTAGATACTGACAAAAATGTATTTAACAGGGAAACAAGAATATCAACATTAATTGCGTGTTTATAGTTTAAGTTGACATACATGCAAGGGAAGGAAGATGGGTATCATATTTACTAGCTCAGAAATAATCAATACGAAATGAAACAATAGGAGTGATCGAGAGGGAAGAAAGGCTAAGAAAGGAAAAGAGAGAGGACGGAGATGAATGTTAATACACTGGGAAACCACTAAACACAAATACTTTTTTAGTAATCTGGAAGAAAATGTTTGTAATTTGGATAGTCAAGAAAAATTCATATTTATAATGAGATTAGATAATGAAGTTGTAATAGATAGTTTTTCTTTGTTCACCAAAAACATAATTGCAATGAGGGGTAATTTTTAGATACTATATGTTATAACAAAGTAGTCGTGTACAATCTTATGCTTTTGTTTTAGTTCTCATTTACATATTTCGTATTGCATGACTTATTGTTTATTTAGAAAGGTGTTGTAAATGTTTTATATTATGTTTTATATATCGATTGTTGCATTACATTGTAAAGTGATTATAACTATGTCTATAAACAGAATATTGATGTACATCAATGATGTTTAATAAATACAATACACTATATAAACACTTAAACATGCAAAATTTCATTTGATCATTTGATACCCCGAAATCCAATACAAAATAATTAGCACATGATTATAAAACATGCAACCAAGCGTAGATTTATCGAACGTGCAAATTCGAGAGCCGATCAAAACATACTTTAGCGGAAATATAATAACCATGATAAAATGAAACTATTAAAAGAAGAAACCAGAGCGGGGGAGGGGGGGGTGGTTGGTGACAGGAGAGAAAAATAACAAACGAAAAGATGATAGGATAACTGATTGCTCCTCTCTCTCGCTTACTCTCTCAACCCCTTCTCCATTAAATCTCTCGTACTTTTTTCCGTTCCGCTATTTGTTTTTATTCCAAAATTATTCCTTTTGATTTTGAGAAAAATCTTTATACCATTTATATCCTTGATACAAAGAAGGAAAAAACGGAACGAACGGCTGATTTCGAAATGAGAAGAATATTACTGTACAAACTTCGTCAATCTTACTACCCCGGCCCTCTCTCTCTTTATTTCTCTCTCTCACTCTCTCTCTCTCTCTCTTCCTCTTTTTTTCCCTCTCTCTCTGTCTCTACACTGTAAAAAAGAATTTGTTCATTGGTAATTTTTACGTATTTTGCCCATGTAGAATTTACTTGAAAACATTAGTTTTGCCACTTACACACTAAATTTAAGTCTTGCTAACTCAAACTTTCAATTTAGTAGAACATACGTGGAATATTTAAGTAAAATCAAATACATAAGAACTTTAAGTAATTTCAGCTTGTATTAATTGAGTAATTTTAACTCAAATATCAGAAATTATACGTATTACTCAAACAATTTATGTTGATTATTCTTATCTTTTTAAAGTAAGGACCGATGCAGTGCGTAATAGAAATATTTACATAATTTATGAATATTCATTAAGACCAAATTAAACTCTTTTTTAAATAAAACAATTATTTTTTGTGGTTGAATGAAAATTTAAGGACTTTAAAACATTTACTAATTCATTTAACATGGCTAAGCAAAGACAAGACAATTTTTAATTGTTACCCAGTTCAAAACAAATAAAAACTTGATATTTCAGGAAATTGTCAACCAATTTTCCTTTTAAGATGCTACGATCAAGTATATATAAAATTTGGAGCCTTTCAATATGTGTCGAATTGAAGCGTATGTAATAGTTTGTGATGGTGGTAGATATATATATACGGTTAAATCTTAAATAGAAGTAGTGTTAGTGATTAGTGATTAATCTTAAATAGAAGTAGTGAATGATTAGTGGATGTTACTTGTTAGATTAGATGGGTACCAAATCGTGCAATATGTAATCCTATCATAGCTTTTTTTTAATTATCTAAAATGATTACAATACTTAAATTATTTACGTTAATGTAACTCGATTTAACTGAGTAAAAATTTATTCAGCAAAATAAGTAAATTCTACTTAAGATGCCGTAGGTAATATTTACTTAATAAAAATAAGGCAATTCTTTTCCTCAATTTTATTGAGTTATTTCGACTATTATTTTTTTTACAGTGTATCTATCTAAGTCTGTCTCTGTCTCTGTCTCTGTCTCTCTGCCTATCCGTCAATGTCGTTTTCCATCTTCATTTTTCATATTTTTTTATATTCTGCCATTTGCTTGCAAGCCAGCATCATTCCTTCTTTGAGATAAATGTTTATAACATATCCCTGATGATCAACACATATGCCTTATATTTATCATAGAGAACGAATATAGAGAATGCGCGGCTGATAGTGTCGAAATGAGAATAATATTACTGTACACAAAATATAGAAAGTAAAAGTTTTGATTTTGATTGTAGAGCTCCGTTTCATCAAAATAAATTGTACGTTCATTAGTTTAGTGAATTAATGGCAGGGAATGGCAACTTTAGGCTTGTAAATTAAGACGTCATTAACCTGCCTATTATGGGAACATGGCAATGATGGCATACCATAGGGTTACCAGATTCCCGTCTGTGAGGGCGCTCCACGGTTCTCGAAAGGAACGGGTAAAAACATGCAACCAAGCGTAGATTTATCGAACGTGCAAATTCGAGAGCCGATCAAAACATACTTTAGCGGAAATATAATAACCATGATAAAATGAAACTATTAAAAGAAGAAACCAGAGCGGGGGAGGGGAGGGGAGGGGGGTGGTTGGTGACAGGAGAGAAAAATAACAAACGAAAAGATGATAGGATAACTGATTGCTCCTCTCTCTCGCTTACTCTCTCAACCCCTTCTCCATTTCATCTCTCGTACTTTTTTCCGTTCCGCTATTTGTTTTTATTCCAAAATTATTTTTTGTCAGCCCCCCCATACGTTTTTGCTCATTACGCCACTGCTGAGTGGTGTATAAACACTGAAGTGTTTAAGTTTGAGCTGATTATGAGCTTATATTGCAACATGTGCAGACCTATATCTGGAACTTCAACTGAACTTGATAGAAAGATCTAGGCTCATTAGCCACCTAGTATATCTACGTTTCATTAACATTGTGATTGAACATGTTTATCGAGTTTCATTGAAGTAAAGCATCATATTATTTGTGTAAAATGCTCACCGTCAATCATTTGACAGAAGAGCAATGATATACATGAAAGTTTAGTGAATTAATAGAGATATCAATGACATATCCGTTTATACGTAACTCGGACATTCAACATTTTCTTTGCCCAACCCGCCGGCATATGGGCGCATATTCTAAAGAATAGTGTATTGAATGGAAGTAACGGACAATACACGGTCAAAGGGGAAAGGGGAGGGAGGCGGGGGAGTATAATGTCAGCCAGGCTGATGTGGGATTGTTTTGGAAACAATACTGTCTTGCACCTATATTTAAACAGCCGCCTTTCCGAAAGCGACACACTTCGCTGTTTACAACTTCGCTACGTCACATCAAGCTGGTTACATCGCTCATAAAGTTCTTCGTACTAGCTTCTCGTCATGTTTACGGATAATACCAAGGATTCTGCTGCAAGCTCACTTCCTCAAGTGGATTTGAGTTGGCTTTCAACGACCACAGGCCCAGAGAGGAAGAGGAAGAAGCGCCGGGACACTTCGGCACCAAAAAGAGAAAAAGGACGACCGTCTGTTCGAGATAAATTCCCCGAAGTCATTCTGACAGCTTCCCGATACATCGCCGACAACGGGTTCAGAGCGCATCGACGTCGTCAGGAAAGCATAGGAACTTGCGGGTCTACTATCAAGAACATCAAGGAACACGTGCAAGAGACTGTTCCTGGTCTTCAAGAGTCTCATCCAAACTTGAGTAAGTAACATTTGTTCTATGTTTACGTGACACATGACCGAAGGGATGGGAGTTGCATTTGATTGTCTTTATATCTTAATCGTCCCCCTCTTCTCTTCTGTTCATGAACAGGTGACCGAACAGTTGCTCGCTGGATGATGCCGCCAAACAGATCTTGTAACGCCTCCAAGTCTTATGCTGGACTCATCGAAGCAAGGGTGCCTGCGAAGGAGAACTCGGCCAGAAAAGGGAACGATAACAGCCACTTCTACTCTGCCAGGGTCCGGTACTTGATGGAGTGTGCCTCGAAACACAACCACGAGGTCATGATCTACAGTGCCGACAACAAAAATAAAGTCAAGGTGGGCGACACTACATTGGCCGTGGACCGACGCATCAAAATCCGGAAAATATTCCCAACCAACGACAAGCCAGTCTACTACGACCATGACTTCCCCACTCCTGGGTACTTACTGACGCCTTCTGGGTACCTTGAGCTCGAGCCATCCACCCTTCTCACCAAAGACAACCTTGGCAGAGACCATTATGTGTGAGTATCTTCTTAATATCCCAATGCCCCTTTAACATGAGCCAATCTTGTTTTCAAAATAGCCAAACACTCGATCTACATGTACGCTATATAAATCGGTATCTTTCAATTAAAATTGTTTTCTGGAAAGGCGCATACGTCAAACATTTCAATGAAATGAATCTATTTCAGAAGTCAAATAAATTGAGATAATAATAATGTTGTTAACCTATACAAGTGATCCTTTAATTAGACAAATAATTTTCGCATACGGTAATAACAAATATTTGTCCGAGTAGTAGTTCACATACTTTTGCTTTGTCTGTCTGGTAAAACAAAAAGAAAAACAATTTTAGTTTGTTTAAGTTTTGTTTTATTGCTTTTAGTAATAATTTGATAGTATGTTCCTTTCAACATTCAATTCCTATTTTCATACATTTTTAATTATTTCAAGCCAAATAAATGATGGATGATCACTTTTATCTTGCACATCATTAATCTCCTTTTCGTAAAATGCTAATTATCTCTAAAATTGCTAAAATTGATGTAACGATTATTTTTCAAAATTTGGCAGGAATATCGAGGTCCTCCCATTAATAATGAAACATAAAAATAAAAAGGTGACTTTGTCAATATTCATCCGTTTTCGCTCAAACTTTAATTAATCCGATTCTCTGATTTTCTGCTTCCCCTCATAACAACTTGACGTAAAGGCTGGATTGCCCTTTAACTTGCTGTTGATAACAATTTGTTTGATGAGTGTTATCAATGTGTTAATTTTGTCCTGTCTTTTCTTTTTTTCTTGTTGCAGATCCCCCCAATCAGGCCCGTCTGAAATCTTCTTGAGGAGTCCGCGTTCCGCATGCAACATAGCTTCCCATCTGGATAACATGTCACAGATTATACAGAGGAAATCTTCACATAAATCGGTACTATTCATGATTGTTGACGGCGGACCAGACTTCAATGTGAATCATATCACTAATATGTTCTACTACTCGAGGTTTTTCAAGGATGCCGATCTGGACGCTCTCGTCATCACGTCGTACTGCCCCGGGGACTCGGTCTTGAACCCCATCGAACATCTCTGGGCACCTTGTACTCATGCGTTATCATCGGTATACCTGCGTTCGACTTTGGAAGGAGAAGCAGTTCCCCCATGTGCACAAGCACGACTGTCTGCACAAGAAAAGCTAACAAAGGAACATATGGTCTTCGACGCAGCAACTTCATCAATCAGGGACGTCCACTGGAATCATCTTACATTCAATGGAAGTGATGTGAATGTTCACTGTGTACCGAGCGGGTATGTTCCCGAATGTGGCAAGGACTATGTTGAGGTTAAGCGGGTCCTCGGCGGATCGGCTAAGGCATTGAAAGAAAGCGACTTCAAAGACAACTTCGACTTCTGCATGCAGCACATCGACAGACGCATTGGAACGATCATTTTCACGAAGTGCAAGAGAGAAGAATGTCTGTACTGTGCAAGGAAGCCTCCTCGAGTTTCAGCAGAGCTACTGGACTGTTTGCGTGCTTTTCCATCTCCACAGCCAAGTTCTACGCACCCTGGACATTTCATGACATTTGGAGAATCGTTGTTGGTACCTCGTGCTCCTCCCTGTGAACACCTACCACTGTTTAGAGAGAAGGGTCTTGGGAGGTGCAGCTTTCCGGAGTGCTCGTATGTATTTAACAGTCAGAAGGACGTAACTGACCACCGTCGTAAGTTTCACCGATAGGTACATGAACATGTAAACTCCTACAACCACCCATGAAAATAACGATTCTCCAGGCGCAGGGAATTATTTCTCATGCATAAATAAGGCATTCTATATGATGTATATATTGCAAATATCTGAAGTTGATTTACATTTCAGCATATCAACGAACATGGAGATGCTTTTCTTTCCTCTAACATTGTTTGATAATTCAATTAGATAATCGGCTTTGAAGAAAGCTATTTGTTGATTTATTTCATTGAATTGTTAAAGTTGAATACATTTAATAGCGATTCAAGTGTGGCATTTAACAAGAAATTTTATCTGAAAATGCATAGCCGAGACAAAATAGCTCCAATCTGATAGTCAATGCATGGTTTGGTGGCTCATTTCCATGGGCTTGCCGAGAGTAATTGAATCACACTATTTACTTGATTGTTTCACAAATAATATAACAACAGGGTCATAGCAGGGATAGTAATTTGAATATAAATGTATATGTCATATAATGGAGTTAAGTTCGATTGATAATAGATGCATGTAATTTATATGTACGTTTACTATAATAATTTGTGAAATGAGCACGTATACATTAAATAAAAAATAATCGACAAGTGTTATATATTTCATGCATAATACTATTAAAGGTTGCTAAAATGAAAATGATGAAATCGTTTGAATAATTATTTTCTCCTCCCTTGTGTGTGGATGTGTGGTACGGAGCAAAAGCGGATCAAGTGAATCAAGTCATAGAGTAGAAAAAAGTAGAAAATTAATTCAATTTTACACAGATTTTAGTGTTCTTTTTAGTCGAGTGGACCTTCAAGTGGTTTTGGATTGATTATTTGGTTTGGGCCAAGAAGTGGCAAGTGACTCACGTAAAATTAAAAAATAGTTTGCCCATAGACCTGGTGCTTAGACTTAATACTAACTTGGATTTTTTACTTGGAAGTAAAGCTATTAAAAGCTCATTTGCCCCTCGTCATATTGTATAGAAGAAGGTGGACAACATTATATAAAGAGAAAAAATAAACTTTCTCTTTTATTTATATTTTAACAAAAATAGCATGAATACCTTTAATACAAAAACAGAATCAATCTTGAAGAAAAATGTGAAAAGGACTCAACAAATAAAAAAATAAAAAATAGGATTCTAGAGCGGAAGATGATAAGGGAAACGTTATAGTTTGTAAGTACAGTATTGGCAAATTTTGACAATTATAGTTTGTAAGTATTGACGAAAAATATACGAACAAAAATGACACAGAAATATTTGAAAGTATTTGAGACCTATATATAGAGTATGCGAAAAGAGTTGAGTCTCGGCCCACCTACAGCTAACTTACGTAAGAGGAACAATGAAACTGGCCGAGGACAGGCGCGTATACAGGGGGGGGGGGGGGGGAGGGGGGTGTTAACCCCTCCCTTATTCTTTTTTAATGTGCGTGTTTTGGAGGAAAAAAAACCCACCCCTCCCCTCAATTTGTTTTTGATACAAAAAAAAAAAAACTTTTGCTATAAAAGGGTGATCAACAAAAAAGTGATTCCCGCTCGCCCCCCTTCCCCTACTGAACGAAATATCGGTCGGCATAATTTTCAAATTTCCAAGACGAAAACAAAAATGTGCTCTTACTCCCTCCAGGTCTGGAAGATTAGGGGCATGCCTTTGGCGTGCGATCCAAACCCCCGGCGTGCAGCATGCTAAGACATATTTGACGTCACGCCTAAAATGAACAGAGTGTTGTTCATAAAAACAACATGTTCAATTGAGCAAAAACCCTTTAAATTCCTAATAAGAAGTTCACATGATTCAGAAGGAATCATCTTTTAACAAATATTACATACCCCATAATCCAAAACCCGATCGGTGAAAGACCTTTTAGACATAAAGAATAATCATATTCAGACCTGATACTGTGACAACTAGAAGGCAAGTTTCAGTGTTTCCTGCAGCATCTGAAGATGAACAGTTCACAGTGGTGTCCCCTATCAAGAATATATCTTCGGATGAATGGGAGCAATTCACATCTAGATCAAAATCCACATTATCAGTTGCAGTTGAATTCAGCAGAACAGTAGATGACGAATTAGATCCCTCATCCGTAGTAAAAGTTAAGTTTGGGCAGTTCAGAATAGGTGCTTCATCATCTGCAAGATAACAGACATTTTGTCAAATTACATCAATACATATTTTACAAGAATGGAATCATGTTTGACTACTTACAGCGGATGAAATCATGAAAAAAAGGAGACGTCCAGTCGACTAAAAAATAATAATAACAATAATATGAATATTTATTTAGAGCCGGTATTTGCCAGGCTCTGACGCTCATGGCGCTGTGCATATTATAATCACAAACATATCACTTTCGTAACTGAAATAAAGTAAACTATGACAAAACAAATTATCACGCTACATTGAACTGTTTAGAAAGAGATGGGTTCTTAGAGCAATTTTGAAGTCATGGATAAATGAATAAATGTAAGATACATTTCATTTCATGAACAAAATTTTGTTTATATGATACAGCATGTTAAATTGAGCTAAAACTCTTACAATTATTAATTTGTAGAACACATCATTCAAAAGAATACATCTTTGAACATTTTAAATCTTAAACCCCCTCGTTAAAAGAACTTTTAGACATGAAAAATAACAAATTCACACCTGTTACTGTGACAACGAGAAGACAAGTGTCAGTGTTTCCTGCAGCATCTGAAGATGAACAGTTCACAGTGTTGTCCCCGATCAGGAATATATCTTCAGATGAATGAGAGCAAATCACATCTAGATCAAAATCCACATTATCAGTTGCAGTTGAACTCAGCAGAACAGTAGATGACGAATTGAGTCCCTTATTCGTAGTAGAGGATATATTTGGGCAGTTCAGAATAGGGGTTTCATCATCTGCAAGATAATAGAAATTCGGTCAAAGTACATCAATACATAATTTACGAGAATGGAATCATGTATGTCGACTTCCAGGTGATGAAAATAATGTAAAGGAACAGACTTCCGGTCGATTAAAAATTGTACGATAAATTTTACCTAATGAACAGAGCGTTATTCATAAAAACAACATGTTCAATTGAGCAAAAACCCTTTAAATTCTTAATAAGAAGTTCACATGATTCAGAAGGAATCATCTTTTAACAAATATTACATATCCCATAATCCAAAACCGGATCGGTGAAAGAACTTTTAGACATCAAGAATAATCATATTCAGACCTGATACTGTGACAACTAGAAGGCAAGTTTCAGTGTTTCCTGCAGCATCTGAAGATGAACATTTCACAGTGGTGTCCCCGATCACAAATATATCTTCAGATGAATGGGAGCAATTCACATCTAGATCAAAATCCACATTATCAGTTGCAGTTGAATTCAGCAGAACAGTAGATGACGAATTAGATCCCTCATCCGTAGTAAAAGTTAAGTTTGGGCAGTTCAGAATAGGTGCTTCATCATCTGCAAGATAACAGACATTTTGTCAAATTACATCAATACATATTTTACAAGAATGGAATCATGTTTGACTACTTACAGCGGATGAAATCATGAAAAAAAGGAGACGTCCAGTCGACTAAAAAATAATAATAACAATAATATGAATATTTATTTAGAGCCGGTATTTGCCAGGCTCTGACGCTCATGGCGCTGTGCATATTATAATCACAAACATATCACTTTCGTAACTGAAATAAAGTAAACTATGACAAAACAAATTATCACGCTACATTGAACTGTTTAGAAAGAGATGGGTTCTTAGAGCAATTTTGAAGTCATGGATAAATGAATAAATGTAAGATACATTTCATTTCATGAACAAAATTTTGTTTATATGATACAGCATGTTAAATTGAGCTAAAACTCTTACAATTATTAATTTGTAGAACACATCATTCAAAAGAATACATCTTTGAACATTTTAAATCTTAAACCCCCTCGTTAAAAGAACTTTTAGACATGAAAAATAACAAATTCACACCTGTTATTGTGACAACGAGAAGACAAGTGTCAGTGTTTCCTGCAGCATCTGAAGATGAACAGTTCACAGTGTTGTCCCCGATCAGGAATATATCTTCAGATGAATGAGAGCAAATCACATCTAGATCAAAATCCACATTATCAGTTGCAGTTGAACTCAGCAGAACAGTAGATGACGAATTCAGTCCCTTATTCGTAGTAGAGGATATATTTGGGCAGTTCAGAATAGGGGTTTCATCATCTGCAAGATAATAGAAATTCGGTCAAAGTACATCAATACATAATTTACGAGAATGGAATCATGTATGTCGACTTCCAGGTGATGAAAATAATGTAAAGGAACAGACTTCCGGTCGATTAAAAATTGTACGATAAATTTTACCTAATGAACAGAGCGTTATTCATAAAAACAACATGTTCAATTGAGCAAAAACCCTTTAAATTCTTAATAAGAAGTTCACATGATTCAGAAGGAATCATCTTTTAACAAATATTACATATCCCATAATCCAAAACCGGATCGGTGAAAGAACTTTTAGACATCAAGAATAATCATATTCAGACCTGATACTGTGACAACTAGAAGGCAAGTTTCAGTGTTTCCTGCAGCATCTGAAGATGAACATTTCACAGTGGTGTCCCCGATCACAAATATATCTTCAGATGAATGGGAGCAATTCACATCTAGATCAAAATCCACATTATCAGTTGCAGTTGAACTCAGCAGAACAGTAGATGAAGAATTGAGTCCCTCATCCGTAGTAGAAGATATATTTGGGCAGTTCAGAATAGGGGTTTCATCATCTGCAAGATAACAGAAATTTTGTCAAATTACATCAATACATATTTTACAAGAATGGAATCATGTTTGACTACTTACAGCGCGGATGAAATCATGAAAAAAAAAGGAGACGTCCAGTCGACTAAAAAATAATAATAACAATAATATGAATATTTATTTAGAGCCGGTATCCGCCAAGCTATGACGCTCATGGCGCTGTGCATATTATACTCACAAACATTAAACTAAAATGAAGTAAACTAAGACAACACAAATTATTACGCTACGTTGAACTGTTTAGAAAGAGATGGGTTCTTAGAGCAATTTTAAGGTCATGGATAAATGAATAAATGTAAGATACAATTCATTTTATGAACAGAATTTTGTTCATATGATACAGCATGTTAAATTGAGCTAAAACTCTTACATTAATTAATTTGTAGAACATATCATTCAAAAGAAATTATCTTTCAATATTCTAAATCTTAAACCCGCTCGTTGAAAGAACTTTTAGACATAAAGAATAACAAATTCACACCTGTTACTGTGACAACGAGAAGACAAGTGTCAGTGTTTCCTGCAGCATCTGAAGATGAACAGTTCACAGTGGTGTCCCCGATCAGGAATATATCTTCAGATGAATGGGAGCAATTCACATCTAGATCAAAATCCACATTATCAGTTGCAGTTGAACTCAGCAGAACAGTAGATGACGAATTGAGTCCCTTATCCGTAGTAGAGGATATATTTGGGCAGTTCAGAATAGGGGTTTCATCATCTGCAAGATAATAGAAATTCGGTCAAAGTACATCAATACATAATTTACGAGAATGGAATCATGTATGTCGACTTCCAGGTGATAAAAATAATGTAAAG